TCACCCTCATTACAAGGTTCCTTAATTCCTCCTCACTTTCTGCCATCAGAGTGGTATCATCTGCATATCGGAGGTTGTTGATATTTCTTCCGGCAATCTTAATTCCGGTTTGGGATTCCTCCAGTCCAGCCTTTCGCATGATGTATTCTGCATATAAGTTGAATAAGCAGGGGGACAATATACAGCCTTGTTGTAAATGTTGAGTTCCCAATTTTGAACCAGGGGACATGGTGGCGCTGCGGGCTAAACCGCAGAAGCCTGTGCTGCAGGGTCAGAAGACCAGTAGTCGTAAGATCGAATCCACGCAACGGAGTGAGCTCCCGTCGCTTGTCCCAGCTCCCGCCAACCTAGCGGTTCGAAAGCATGCAAATGCAAGTAGATAAATAGGGACCACCTCGGTGGGAAGGTAACAGCATTCCATGTCTAAGTCGCACTGGCCATGTGACCACAGAAGATTGTCTCCGGACAAATGCTAGCTCTATGGCTTGGAAACGGGGATGAGCACCGCCCCCTAGAGTCAAACACGACTGGACAAAAATTGTCAAGGGGAACCTTTACCTTAATTTTGAACCAATCAGATGTTCCATATCCAGTTCTAACTGTTGCTTCCTGTCCCACGTATAGGTTTCTCAGGAGATAGAGAAGGTGGTCAGGCACTCCCATTTCTCTAAGGACTTGCCATAGTTTGCTGTGGTCCACACAGTTAAGGGCTTTTGCAGTCAATGAAGCAGATGTTTTTCTGGATCTCTCTGGCTTTCTCTATAATCCAGCGCATGTTTGCAATTTTGTCTTGAGTTCCTCTGCCCCTTCGGAATCCAGCTTGTACTTCTGGGAGCTCTCAGTCCACATACTGCTGAAGCCTACCTTGTAGGGTTTTGAGCATAACCTTGGGTCATTGATCATTGGGTAGGAAACCATTTTGTCAACAAGCACAAACAAATAGAACTGAACTCCTTGATGAATTCCAATCCAGCAGCTTAACACACTGCTCAGTGTCAAGTTGGATTAATAGTCTTCCCTTTAGTGTGTGAAAGTTGCCGGTTCTGACGTAGATTTGTGCCAGAAGCGTACAGTGGTGCCTCGCATAGCGAGGTTAATCCGTTCTGGATTAACCTTCGCTACAGCTAAACATCGCTGAACGGGACAGGGAAAGCCATTGGAACGCATTAAACATCGTTTAATGCGTTCCAAAAGGCTCCTTTACTCACCGTTCAGCGATGCTTCCTATGGCCGGCAGCCATTTTCGCGCCCTCATTAAGCGAGGGGAGGCCACGAAAACGCTGCGCACGGCCATTTTGGGGCTTCCGGCCCATTTTCTCCGCCGAACAGCTGATCGTCGGGGCTTCGTTTTGCGAAGATCAGTAAGCGAAATGCTTAGCGATCTTCGCAAAGCGAGTTTTGCCCTATCTAAAAGTTATTAAGCGATCGCATTAGCGATCCCAAAAAAGGGATCGCTATGCGACTTCATCGTTGTACGGTGCGCTCGTTAATCAAGGCACCACTGTATTGTTTTTTAAGTAAACAGAGCTTGGGAACATTACATTTTGGACTGCGACTCCCAGAATCCACAAATCAGCATGATCACAAGGGTTGTAGCCCAAAATGTAACTTTTCCAAGATCCGCTCCCTTCCCTCGCTTCTCTGTAAATTCATCTTTGCAACGGGTGCGTTTCGCCACAGCCTTAACCACTCGAACTTGGCGAGGAGACTTTGGCTACTCCCGCTCGCTTGCAAGAAAGAAGTAGGCGAGCGTACGACTTCTTGCAACGCGGGAAGCCCCGCCTCCCGCAACATGAACGTCCACTGGATGCTTGAACCCCACCCCCTTTTGCTCCTATCCTCTGAGAGGCCGGCAGGTTGTGTACACATAGACAGACCGCCAATGAGAGGCTAGGCCCGCCTCCCTTCACGCCTACAGGTCGCCCAATGGGCGAACTCGGCTGTCAGACGCCGCCAAGCTTGTGCAGGGGAGAGGCTGAGAGAAGGGTAGGGGCGCGAGAGGTTCTGGCCAGCGGCTGCCGAGGAGCCAGGGAGCGAAGGGGAGCCGCTGCTGACCGCTAGCGGACGGAAGCAGCGGCAGCAGCGCTAGCGCTGAGGTGAGGTGAGCGAGAGTCGCCAGAGACACCCCCACACACAGAGCTCTGGAGTTCTCCAGCGCCGTGGGCTTTCCTCAGCTCCCGGGCCGTGTTCGCCCGGCCCCCTTCCAGCGAAAACGGACCTCTTGTCTTCTGTAGACGGTTTTTGCCTTCACGAGGCCTCGTCCCTTTGGGGGAGGGGGGAAGGATTTGTGGCTCCTGAAGGAGGGAGGGTGTCGGAGGGTGACATGGCTCGAAGGCTTCCCCTTCCCCCCGTCACCGGTTCCTGTTTCCTCGGCACCCTCCGTGCCTGTCCGGGCACCCGCGCCGCTTTCCGCCGCGTGAGGGGAGCCTCATCATGTTCTTCCCTGCGCTTCCGCGTCCCCTTCCGCGGGAGGGGGGGGTGCGCTCTGTTCGGACCTCTGGCCGCCCCTCCTCGTTGCCTTTCCGCCCTTTCCTCTCTCTCTCTCCCTCTTCCCAACCCGCCCCTCCCACCGGCCTCGTTTTTCTTTTTCTGCTCTTTCCTCCTCCCGCGACTCTCTTCCTCCGAAACTCCGGTGCGTGTTTGGGAGGCAAGCGCGGTCTCCGCCTCGGTG